AGCAGGAAATAGTATGCAAGAGTACCTCATGAGTTGATGGGAAGGTGTTGCCAGAAAGCAAGTGTCAGCCGTGCAATGTATGAACAACCGCATCTGTGGTGCTAGATGCTGGCAGCAAGGGCTGGTCTGATTGCTGGTTAGTGGCTACCCAGTGCACCTTCCTCCTGCTCCCAGGCAAAGACTGAGGAATCAAATTGACCTCTTTCCATAGATGAGGTTAGTTTTTCACAGCTGGAATTTTAATATTAAATCTGGCCTCATAACAGTTGGATTTTCTCTTTGTCTTTCTGGTTTCTGCCTAGCTAGCTTATTCACTAGCACTTTCTTTAAAATGTTTGGTTCACGCCAATATTAAAAATGTGACATTTTTTTATCAGCTGGTTAGATTTCAGGTGGCATTAACAGCAGGGTTTTAAACCGCCTTTAAAGTTAAAAGGGCCACTTGTAATATTTTGCATGTTTTTTTAAGTATCTTGCCAATCTGAGACACAGCCTGGGAAAGGAGTATTTCTTTCTGTACCAACTTACTCCCCACTCAGAACATTTCTCTATAGAAAGAGTCACTCTTTTTAGGACAGAAAGACTAGGAGGGTGCCCAGAAGAGCCCACAGAAAACCAGACCCCCTCAGGAGGTGTGGTAAAGCTGGGGGGAGCGACTGCTTCATTATACTTGGCAGCCTATGAAGACCCATTCTGTGAAGGGGACAGGCTGCACTTCTGTTTTGCCAAAGGGGTAAAAGTCCCCAGGGGAGAGATGGGTCTTGCACCCACTTGTGCCCTGCAGGAGCATCAGCTCTCACCTCCTGCCCCAGCATCTGCCTCCCCACAGGGAGATTTCATGGTTCTCTGCTCAGGCACAATCAGGAATTAACACTATGTTTCAAAGGCAAGTTATATTTAAATATACATACATACAGGTATCTATTTTTAACTTAACTTACACACAAGGCAGGAGACCTCCACCTACAAGAGAGCCCAGGCTGTCAAATCATCCCTCTTGTGCAAAAATGTACAGCCTTGATGCTCAGTACAGATTTTCGCCATGATATTAGCTTTGTTTAATTTTACTTCATAGTGTTTCACTTTTCTTGCTCAAAAGAGCTGCTGAAAACATCGGTTTATCTGTGTATAGTTCTCTTTCTGACATACTTATTCAGCTAAGAGTTTGGTCAGGAAAAGCAGCAGAACTTGGCCTGATAAGGTTAAATTGCAGAAATAAACTGGAATGAGTTCTTTTTTTTTTGTTGTTGTTTACAAGGAAATCCCACAACTTCAGATACCTTTTCACTTTTCAAAATTTCATGTAATATGAAATTTGACAAAGTAGTTTTGAGTTAAGCAAAACACTTATTTTAGAAATATTTCACAGCCACAGGGTTCTGTTTTTTTCAAGACTTGTAAAATTCTGTATTAAAAATTCACTTACTCTGAAAAGTAGGTTTGGGACAACTTTCATTCTGAAAATGTCAAAATGTCATTATTGAAATGTTTAGTCTCAGGTGTTTCCAAAATGATATCTTAACAAAATCAATTAATAGTTAAAAACTATTTGTCTTGATGAACTCCACTACCCCCAACATCTTTATGAAGCAGGAAAACAACACTTAACCTGCTGTGCTTAGTGAGGTCTTGAGATGTTTCCCACACTGAAATATCATTAATAATATCTAAACAAGGAATTACTGTAATATGGGAGGAAATTTGCCCAAAGCAAGCAGTCTTTCAGGATCTGAAATTTAATGTAAGAATGTTTCATGTTGCATTCAACTAATATCCTTTGAGCAGCTCTGAAGGTTTTAGAGATAAATATCTTATTTTTATTTGCATTTGTTTACCTTCCTACAATTTGGAGGCATAAATTTCCTACAGTCTGATCCTAAGATAGGAGTAATAAAAATTATGCTTAAATAATGGGTGTTCCTTCAGTCTGACTGACACATACTTATCTGAACAGGGCTGTTTCTTGCATCAAAGCTTAAGCTTATAGTGCTTTGAAATGACAATCTCTATTTCACAGTTGGGGAACTTAAGGTAGGGTGTAGCCCAAAGATACCTTTTGCCAGTCAGGAGCAAAACCCCCACCTTCTGATGGGGTTAATAAAAATCCAGTTAAAAAAACAAACAAACAAAACATTTTAACAAGGATGGTATTTAAAATGTCAGCTCAAGCTGGTAGGTCAGGATGATTTTTTTTTTTCTGAGAATGAACTGTGTAAGTTTTGGAATGCTCAGGGTGTTACTGTGCCTAAAAGGCCTTTTGTAACACGACTGACTTCTGGTGTTAGCTCAAGCACCCTGTGTCCTATACTCCATCCTATAATCTGTGGAACAGTCAGCAAATCTGTTTTTAGAGAACTGCCATGCAGCTGCCTCTCCTCAAGAGTTTTCCCCCTCTGAGTTATCATTTAAAAGCTGGAAGGGAAGACCCAGATGGCTAGAGAATCCAGCATCTTTTCCTGCTGCTGAGGGTAAAATTCTTGCACTTCCTTCCACCTGGAACCTATGTAGTTTTTAAAAAAATTTAAAAAACACCACGGACCCCCCCCAACACAAGAATGATTTCTCTTGCAGTAGCTGTAAGCAGAAACCTTTGTAATACAAACAGCTGCTGCAGTGGAGCAGAAACTCCAGCAGTGCTGTTTTACATCACCACTATTTCACTCCTGAGCAAAAGGGGTCAGGGATATGATGGTCTACAGTGGAAGGTGCAGCTCCATCAGATGGGCTTGTTGAGCTGAGTTATTTGGTGCCAAGGAAAGGGGAAGGCCTAGGTCCTTCTCCTGTCACCCCTCCCGTCTTTCAGCCTTCCCTGCTTATGTCTGCTGCTTCTGCTACAGCAGAGATTTTCTTGGCACACGGGATGGTTTAATTGCTTGTTATGGTAACCTGGCACAGAGGACCTGCTTTGCCCACTCCTCAAAATGCAGCTGCAAGACCAGTGTAATGTACAACCCCCTGCTTCCAGCTGGAACCATAATTTTTAATTAGGAAAATGGGAGTTTGAGAAGGGTTTTAGGGGTTCTGTCCAAAATCGTGAGAAAGCCAGACAAAGTTTTTCAGTTTACAAGCTGTCAGGATTGCAGTTTTGCATCCCTCTGGGATTTCTGCTTGGGCCACGAGCTAGTGCCAGCTCTGGGGGAGCATTGCATGGGGGCACTGGGAAGATCCTTCTGGTGATCTCCTGTGATCAGACGAGCTCCTGTTTGGCAGGTTAGAGCTCTAGCCAAAACATCTGGAAGGGGAAACATCTCAGGGACCTATAGGCACCTGGTGGCAGAGGGAAGCTGAGTGTCTACGAATGAGAGGAGTGCTAAGGAAGCTATGCTGAATGTATTAACACCTTGGGAAACTAACATCTGATCAGTGAGTGAAACTCCTTTTGTGCCATCTGGCTGCCTGTCTCACATCGGTTTACAACCACAAGATTATTTAGGGGTGCAATTTATGGGCAGAGAGTGGTTTAGAAATAAGAGCATCAAATCTATTAAGTTTAAATCAAAGTCATTCTACATAAAAACTTTAAAACTTAAACCAAAGAATGATTTAATTTATAATTACATATATATAAAAAATCTTGATTATTTTGGAATTACTTATTTCTTCAAATAATATAATGAATTTAAAGTACCTTGGGTTGGCAATTGATTCTTTTTCCTCTTCTCTTACAGTAGGCAAACATTCACAGTCAGCTGAAAATGGGTAAGAAACAAGACTGCAGTTACTCTCGGCAGTTCTTCTAGATTTATTTCAATATTACATCAACTTTTATCATTTAGTCTCTCTAGAACGTAAAACTGCAGATGCTCTTCTTCACCCTTTTATCTGTAAAATCTTCATGCTCCCTAGAGCATAAATGTTATGTGCTTTAAATCCTCCTTCCCTTTGATGGGTGTTTCCATAATTACTATATTATATGTATTTCCACAATTACTTTATTATATGTGTTTCAGTTGTTTATGTTCACCTGTACAAATGAACCACTTTTGAGGATTCTTTCCTATTAGGTACCATGGGGAAAACTACTTGTTAATCTTCCACTGCTTATAATTACACCTATGCTTTATAGTCCAGCTGGGAATATGGAGCTGGGGATTAGGGAGCAGTAACAAAAAAAAATGTCTGTATGTAACCTAATTGCTCCTTTCTGTCCACATAATTAAAAAAAAAATAAATTACAGCTCTACTTCCTTATGTACTATACTTAGTTCCTCTACTTCGCTACTGCTGCTTAGTACATGTTTTCTACTGGAGCTTATGGACCATGAAGGTCAAAACCCCATCATGTGGAGCACTGTGTTAATGCAAAGAAATGCTCCAAAGAGTTTTATGTCCTGAAAAACAGAGCATCCTTAGGAGGTCAGGCAAAATAGCCATTTGGATGTAAGACAAAGCATCAGGAATGAAAAAAATAGCAGGTTTTCAGCATTTCTGAGCCAGTGACAAGCTGTTAGCAGTTCAAAATTGGCCCTTGGTTAATTCACACCTAACCAGAGACCAATGGTTTTTTTTACAGAAAGCGTTGAAAGTAGATGTAAGGCCTTTTAAGGCTTTGACCAGGAGATTTAAGCTGGGAGGAAAATGGGAGAAAAAAATACATGGTACTTAGAAGTAACTAACAGGGAGATGAAGATGTTGCTGGTGATAGTTACTGCAGGTACTGATTGCTCCATGGGCTGCTAGATTTGTCAGAGAGGATGTAGATGGTGAATGGTGCTGGTAGCAAAGAACATTTTGTGTTTCATGCAGTAGAGATGGCAAGCAAGGGTAAGGGCACAAAGAGGGGAGGGATGTATTCACAGGATCACAGCAGCAATTTTAAGGAAATGGTGGCCTGAACTATAAGTAAATCAGTGTTTCTTCTACAATACCACAGTGTGGAGCACAGAGTGTATAGAAACTCTGAGGAGTGAAAGGACTAGATGCTTCAGAGAAACTAGTATTTAGCATTTAAAACTTGTATTTAAAAATCTAAATACCATTCACAGCTCTATGTGTGTTTAATTGAAGTGTCTTCTGGAAACTCAAAACATTTATGATATTCCATCATATGTTAAAAATAAGCTCCCAAACTAAAATAGTCCTCTGAACAATTTTACTCCTGACATTTGTGCTATTTTAGTATCAAGGAGTCAAGAACACAACTAAAAATGTTGTAGCAAAAGCAGTGACAGGCATACAAAATGCCTTGCATTGACTTTCTACATATGGGACCTACGTCATCTAGAAAGAGAGGGATGATGGAGTAGAGGGGTTACCATGTACCATTTTTGTTCATACTGTTCATCCATTTATCAAGCTCTTCCATTTCTATCTCCATAACAGAGGGTGTGTCTTCTTCAAAAATAGGACTTGAGAGGAGGGAGGGAAGAAAAAGGCATTAGACAAAATGCTTGATTCAAACAATGTACAAAGCAGTAATTTTGTATGAGCCCTTCATAATTTCAGACACATTATGAAACTCTGGAAAGCCATCCTCGCCTAGTAATCTGAGATGTTATCCCAGTGGGTGCCCTCCTGGGCAGAGGTGGGGCTGGCTGGGACAGCCCATGCAGAGAGGGACTCAGATGGTGGAGTCTGGACTATGCCAGAGCACGGGATTGCTGCAGCTATTTGAGAACTGTCTCTGACATAAAAAGAAAACTGAAAAATAAAATAGTTTTTCTCTGTCCTAGCAATAAAAGCAGAAGGCCTAAAGTTTTTTCCTAGCTGTGGCTGACGTTGGCAGTGAATTCAAAAGGAAAGGTTCTGAGTAGAATAACTTTGCATTTATTTCAATGTCTTCATTTAACTTCCCTTTGCTGATCATTCCTGGAGTCACACGGTGGAACAATTATTTTTAGTAAATCCCTCTTTTTTAACTCAGTAAGCCAATATAATAACTTCCAGCATTGATTAGCAAGATGGAGCTCAATAAAAGATAACAATGAAAATTCTCACTCTGATAAGAGCCACTCAGCTTTTGGCATGTTTTCCCAGCAGCTAAGGCATTGCTTTCATGGCAGCTGGGTGAGCCATCCTGCCTCACCTCTGAGCGAGAAGACAAACTTAAAAAACAAGGGAGCAAGACAGACCTTATTCTGAACAGTAAAAGTTTAGTCTGGGAACTGATCCCCTTTGCTCATGGGGCACCTGATGTGTCTGGTTGCATCTTGTGGCTGGTAGAGCTGCAGGTGCCCTAGAGCAGGGGTAGGGGTGGCTGCAGGCAGTGGGCACCTGTTCTCCTACTCTAGTCCTACACCTTCTCTAGATACTGAAGATGCATTTTAGCCACCTCTTGAGATGTCAAAAGGTACTGGTGTTCAGTGCATGCTTAAATAAAAACAGGCAGTGAAGAAGCCAGTAATAATAATAATATCCTGTTAGAGTAAATAAAAACAACAACAACAATAATACTAATATTCATAAACTTTACCTTTTCACATTTTCACTTCCCAGCTCATCTGGAAAAGAAAACAAAGTTGGTGTTCATAATTCTTCACTGCATATACAGGGTCCAGTCTGCAAACAAGCCTTGAGTAGGGTCACATAAAACAGGTTGTGTTTTCAAAAGGCATAATAGTTAGCTTGTAGATGACAGCCAAAACATCTCATCTGTTTGTAATTTTCAGAAGAACCCATTCTTTTTACTCTTGAATACACTAAAAGCAGCTCATTATTAGCTCAGTCGTGCTGGGAGGAAACCAACTGTTAGCACCACAGTAGGCAGGACACTGCAGATGCATGCTTCCCCGAGCAAAGCAGTTGTAGTGAGAGACATGCTGCTCTGAAAAGGAACCACTGCTGCAAAAACAATTGTTTACTGGAAATGTCAGGATATTTTGCTGCAGACTACATACAGGCAGTCCAGCTCTGCCTGGAGATGCTGGGAGCCACTCATGGAGAGAAGAGGGGGAATGGACTTGCATGGAAGATTAAATCTCAGTTAGGCAAATGAAGCTGATCTAGACTGATGTCAAAACGGATCCAAAGCTAGTTATGACCCCAAGACAAAATAAAGATGGGAAAAAAATTTAGTGTAACAGCCATTATTCAGAGAAATAGTTTCTGCAGGAATCAAGTGACTGAAAAGCCTTATTCCACAAAAAAAAAAAAAAGAGTGAAGAACTACATGTAGGATTCTCACTGTATACTTTCTTTAATCAACTTATTTTAATTCAATGTTGCTGATGGGTGCTGACACTTCCCACTTTTTCCAGCACATTCCTCAACTTGGAGAGCCGTGGGCCGTTCAGTCATCTGTCCCTGCCTTGAGGATGCCCAAAATCCCAGCTCCAAGCTGGTATCTCCAGGGCAAGAGATCCCAGAATTGTGCTTTGGAAAGGCCCCGCATTTCCCATCACTCTGAAAAATGACCCTGCATTTCAGGTTATCCAGAAACTGGCAGGGAACTATACGCCTAGTTGTGAATTCAGAGTTTGCTGCGAGGGTGACCCAGGGATAAGGCAGGTGCGGCCTAAAAATGCACTGCAAAATGAACTGTGTTGAACCAATGTCACTGTTTGCAGGCTGAGGAGCTCAAAGCTGCACTCCTGTTCTCTAGAGACACCAGTATGACTATTTCAGGATTTCACTTACCAGCTGTGTGGTTTCAATACGACATCTCAGTTTATTTTCTGTACCAGTTTCTTTGTGAACAGGTCAAGGCAGCTCCCTGCAGCTCTGTGCTTCCTTATTGCAGCACCCAGGCAGCTTGACCATGGGACTCCTAGCTTATTTACTGTCCTATCTTCATAGCTGCCACCAAACCTTAAAAACGTTCCTTAAAATGCTTTTGCTTTTTCTTATTTTATTAAAGTTCTGCCCGGCTTCACTTTGTGGGCATTGTAGGCAAGAGGAGCATTAAATTCACCTTGCATGAAGTTACTCAGCATAAAGACAGAGTGTTTGCAGCCACATGGTTACATCCTTATGCTGTTCCTGGCACTGTCAGGAGTCAGAGCTCAGTGCAAGCAGCTCCTGTGGGTGTGCAGCATGAGCAGGAGTTGCTGGGAAGCAGAACTAGCTCCCACCCATGGAGAGCTGAGTGCCAAGATACCACTGGCCAGGGGTGGATCCCTTTCCTATCTGTCAAATGTGAAACTACAACCAGAGAAATACTTCCTAATTGTGGCATCCCAGGCCTCTAGATAACCTCTAATTTCAAGCGCACCCTAAAAATATCCTTCTGATGAGTGAGAAGAAAAATTTACCTTGCTTAGATTTTTTCCTTTTATGATGTAATATAAAAAATATGGTCAGCAAAATCAGCAGGACCAGCAGCACGACAGGGACAACATATAACAAGATAGACTGATCTTCAGCTTCTAGGCTCTCCTGATTGTTGACTGTATTTGATTCAGTATTTGGGGTACTTTGTGTTTCAAAACTGCTTTCAGTAGTGCTTGCAGTGACAAGTACTGGCTCGTGGTCACCTGCAGCTGAAGAATGCGTAGCAGGAAGAGGCGTTACTGTAGGGGTGAATAATATTGGTGATCCATCTCCTGAACCATCATTTTCAGTTCCTGCAAAATATATGTGGATAACTTAACATTTTATGGACTTCATCAGTATTACCAGTGAGTCAAAGCACACAAGCTTTAATACTTACTTTTCATTTGATGTCTTAAAATTCAAGCAGCAGATGCTCTGTACACACAGATTTTAAGTCTTGGGCATCAGATGTAAAATTAGATTACAAATTGGTCACAAAATCTTACAGTTCTGACTACATTCTTCAGCTGGCTCTTACTGGGACACATCAGTATGTGTGGTCCATCTGCATGCAGCTGCTTTACACAAACAGTTTTTTCCCTGCAGGTTGGCATCCGGTCTCACTCTCATGTGAAAGACTTCTGCTTCTCAGAAAACCACATCATCCTGCTTTGCTCCTCAGCCTTGGTACACATGGCTGCAACCTCTTTCTCCCAGCCCCATTTATCTAAGGAGTTAGTGCTCCCTTCAGGGCGAATGTTATCCCAGGTTAACTGGTTCCTCCACTCACTTATCTCCCCATTTCAGTGCTTTCCTCAACTGTATTAAATCTGTTTCACTACGAAAAACAGAACTGGTGAAAGGAAGTTGAATGGCTGCAGAAGCTGCTGGCTTTCACTTCTGCATGGACTAGAAGAGGTAGCAATAACACAGGGACTTCACTGGATACAAATACAATTAACTGCTCCTGTGGCTGATCCTTCAGGCTGGATAAAGTACAATGTGGCAAAGAGTCAGTGCTGGGTGGTCTTCAAAAATGCGAAGTCTGGAGGTTTTGAAACTTGATTTGGGTTTGGTTTCATGTCGCATATATTTTACAAGAGAAGTGGCTAAATTTTGCTATGTTTGTAACAGTGAAACAATGGGGTTTTTGAGGGTAATTAAGAGTCTGTGTTTACTGTCATGGAGCTTAAAGCTTAGCAGAAATACAGCAAATTCTGGGCTGATTACCGTGTTCTATACTGAACCCAAAAATTTCCTTGTAGCCAAGGGTTCAGGATTAAGCCCCTAGATAAATTACACCAACATGTTTCCAAGTGCAAAACCTTTCATAATTTTCTTAGCATTAAATTAAATTATTATATTTTGTGTTATCATCCCTTTCAGATAAAATGCTGGCATGGCACAGCTCTCATTGTTTGCAATAAGGGTTTCTTGTGACTTTTGCAATGACATGTTTCTCCTTGCTCTTGCAAAGTGCTGGGCAGCCATCATTTCCAATGGATTTAGCAAGAGCTTAATGTTTCCAGAACCTCGGTGCTGGCATTTCAAATCTCACAGGACTGGAACCAAAAGAACTTAGCATTTTAAATGTGTTTGTAAACACATACATCTTCATAATGGCCCTGAGATGTGAGCAGTTATCATCTCCCTTTCACAAATGAGAAATCAGAAGGACAGGATGATGCCCTTCCCAGGGATGTCAAGCGAGAGAGGAAAACTAGAATTAGAGCATTATCTGTTGCTTAATCCAATCTGCAGTATCTCCTCTCCTGTCAGATTGGTCTCAAAGAGGAGAGGAATGTCTCACTAGACTGTATTCCAGGAAACCCAGCTTCAAACAAAATTATTTGAGTGTGACAGCTGTGATTTGTTTAGGTTTTTATGCAATGCTTCTCACTCAGGCACCTGATTGTTTCCTTTCCTAAAAACTGGGAGAGAATGTTAATAAATAATATCTAATACTTGAATATAGTATTTAATACCTCAAAGGTCACCAGATTATTTCGCTGCAATGACAATGAAAATGTTAGCTCTTCAGTGGCAAAAACATTTTTTTATTTGAAGTCTCCACGTTGTATTCCTCTGTATTTATTACTTCAGCCAAGAGCAAAACATGATTTATGTCTCCCTTGTAGGTAATGACCCCTTACACGTATGCTCCTCCACCCTTCCCCTGATCTGTTGGCTCTTGTTAATCCTGTCGCAGAGGAGCTCCACTCCCTTAGTAGTTTTCACCACTTGATTTTTCTGATACAGTTTCTAGTCCCTGGTGCTGCACCCACTCAATTTCAATTGTTGCAGAGAGCAGTGAGGTATCACCAGAGGTGGCAATGCCACAGACCATGGCATGATGGGCTGCGCTGCTGGTGGAGCCAAAGGACCACCTCGGCCTCACTGAACTGCTGCACAACCTTGCTTCATTCTCCTCCACTAGCCATCAGCCCTGAAACCTTTGTCCTCCTCATTTGATATACTGACAGTGGCAAGCCCATTACTAAAAATGGTGCAAATAGGAAAGGGAGTATGGTACAATAGGAAAAGGAAAATGGTACAATAGGAAAAGAAAATACCTTACCTTTCATTTACTTTCAGAGCTAAAATGGAATTTTTAAATGTCTACAGCACAGTGTGATTTTAAAGCAAAAGCAAATGGTCACACCTCATTAATTGCAAGGCTAAACTTCCAGCTGCAGCATATGCTGCGTTTCTTTTCCAATAGAGACTTTTCCAGTGTCTCTGGTACTTTTTATTTGCCTGATTTTGAGCTATCAAATGATTCATCTCTGTGTGAAATAGAATAATTTTTTCTAGTCTCTAGACAAAGGAAAATGGCAAATCACAGGGAGTGACCTTGCTGCCATGTATTTTGTTGACTTTGTATAATTCCAGGGGCAAAACAGCATCTGTTCTGTGATCATCATTTTCTCTTACAGAGATCTTTTCTCCGAGTGAATTACATATGTCTTTGAGCAGAAGGGCAGCCAATTGCACAATATTCTTGCAAGGATATTGCTTATTTCCTGTTTTGCACCTGCTGCCTCGACACATCTCCCTCCAGCTTTTCTGCAAGTCACCTCTGAGGACCAGAGCTGACCTGAGGGATTCCCTACTTGTCACACAGGGGCTGCTCTCACTCTTGGGCCACCTACACATCACATTTTTTTATGGGGTAGGAAAATCACAGTGCTTTCCTGGGTGAGCCTGGTGGCTTGCACCAAGGAAGGGTTTGTACCTCCAGCCAGGCAGGGAGGGTTAGGCTCCAGCCTTTAGCTGCAGATGCAGCACTTGCCACAGCCAGCTGCCCAGGCCAGATGAGACTCATGTGGCTGGCTCTGAGATAGCTGTTCTTTCCATAGTGTTTCAGCCAATGGAACGGACTTGACTCTGTCAAGCCAGTTCTCTTCCTCTTGCTGAGGTCAGCCTTATGCTTTTGGCTACAGTCTGATGTTTGTACTCAGCCCTCCGCACATCTCAGCAAAGTGTTGTTTTCTGGCTCAAACAACAGCCATGTCGACTTCAGCTTTGTCTGGACATCCTGGGGCATGAGTGCTGGCAACTTCTACCCCTGTCCAGGGAAGTGGATGGGAGCACATCATAGCTTCAGCCCAGCCCATATTGCCACCTCCCATGCTTTCAAGAGCAGAAGGAAGAGGGGCTGGTATGCAGCTGTGTCATGTCCTGATGGGAAGCTGAGCATAGCTGGAACTGGAAGCTAAGAAGTCCTCAGGTTCCCACCACTGAGGTATTAGAGAATCTAGTCTTCAAGGGACAGAAATGCCTGAGCAAGCACTAGCAGTGCCTCAAAAAACATTCCACTGCAGTTCTTAGAAATTACAAAAAAGCTATGTCACTTCATGCAGATACCATGGTATAAGGTATTAACCCGTATTTTTTACTTTAAAAGTATGCTTGTATTACTGATGAACTTTGCTTGAGTTTTGGAGGTGCTCCCAAGCCTGCTTTTCAAGGGAGACAGAGGGAGCTGAATATACAGCAGCTTTGCAGCCTGGAAGTCCAAACAACTGAATCACAAACAAGCAACGCTTCTGTTGTTGCAGCATTTCTTCCTCTGAGGCTTGTGCTGTAGCACTCAGGTGGTGATATGAGCTTCTTGATGAAGTGGGCAAACAGGTTTCTGATTTCAGTTGGATATGAGGCAAAGGAAAATAGCAAGGAGTCAGCACATTCAGTTCTGCTGTAAATTTATCAAACTCCCTGCTGCCCTCTCATCAGACTCAAGGACTGGATCTCTGAAGGGAATTTTTCAAATTACACTATTCTTTCCACTTCCAGAAGAAAAAAGGGGTAGGATAGAGGAAAAGCAAGAGCCAAGTCAATGGACTAGTCAAGCTTATTAGATTGAAAGGGAGTTTTTGTCTCTCCAAGCTTTCCTAAAAGCCTTAGAAACACAGTGAAAGGAGGGCTCACGAGAGAGTGACAAAACAGGAAAAGGCTATAAAGCTGTGGGTACTGGAGTGAAATTACTGTGTCCTATACCACTCTGCTCCAAACACACATTCCTTCTGGTGGTATAGTCAGACGACTCCACAAGGTCCATAGGATCCTCTCTCCTATTGCTAGACTCATCCCTGTTCTCTTCCACTCCCGCATTTCATGCTGCTGTCAGGAGGGCCGTTCCTTGCCGTGGCCAGGGCTTGCCCAGCTGCCTGTTGTGGCAGGGGGGG